AAGAAAGAGATAATGACCAGCTGAAGACACGAGTGTCTCTTAAGGTACTACCAATAAGAATCCAGATCCCAAAAAGAAAAGCCTGTAATGAAGACCCCCTCCCCCATCCTCATGGCAGATAGTGCCCCTCTCTGAAACATGGCTGCAGCCCGTGGGCTGGGAAGCGCAAAGCAATGAGCTATTTCCAGAGCAGCTGAAAAACGGAAAAACGGAAGACAATTCAAAGAGTGGGGTGATGTTGACAGTTCTTGTGATGCATGGTAAGAATGGGAAGAGCTGAGTAACACTGTTCATTAAGTCTTACATAAAGTTCTCTATGGTTTTCAGCGGAAAAAATCTACTTCTGCCTAAAAATTGATGCTACGGTTTATGTTGCCCAATTCCGCTTCCTACAAGACAGGCTTATGCAGTTCAGTTTTATTTCCTGTACACCATACCATGCATCATTTGATATCTTTCCATAAATTTCAATTAAACAGATATCCATCTCATTAAAATGAGATATTTAAAAATACTGCCAACAACCATTTGATAAGAGGAACAATTAAAGCAAGTCTTCACATTACACATTCATTATACTTAAAAATTTAAGTAATTAATTTAGTCTAATTTAATTTTATCTACATTATTCCTCATCAATGAGATGGTTTCCACTAAACAGCCAATTCCAACACTAGAATAACCAAATATAAACTTTAAAAAAGAGTCAGAGACTGGGGATTAGAAGGTCACTCACCCAAGAAGGCCCACCAGGAGCCAAGAAAGCCAGACTGAATGGTTAAAAATGTCAAGTATATGCCAATGATATTATACACATATCATTATCATACCTTTGATGCACGACAGTGGAACCGCTTTAACAAAACATGCAGTGGTGAAGAGTAAAATACACTGTGCGTTAACAGGCCCTGATAATCAGTTAGAGAAGCTAAACATCTTGCCCAAAATAAATTATATTCATCGATCCCTTTGTTTTAGGCTGACTCATGCATTCCACTGTTTTCCTTTCTGGCTGCAAAATTGGAAAAGCAGCTTCTGTGCGTGTTGAAAAATAGCTCATATCTCATGAACATCATGACCAGATACTGAGCAAGTTTTCTCAGATTCTGTGAATATTGTGCATATCAAAACAAACCAAGCAAAGATATTAACTAAACTAATGTTTATTTGTCACAGAAAATTTACAGAAGTGCCAACTTAAATGTCAATTACCTCAGTACCTCGGTAGCTATTAGTGAAGCTAACAAGCGCAGCCTGAAGAACCTCAAGGAAATTCAATGTTTGTCTTTTCCAAACTATCTTCAGTAAAGCCACAAGCACCATAAGGCACAGGCTCAGGGATGATAACCAGACAGTTATTCTCAATCTGCACGTACAAAGCCGGATCACAGAGCCACAGCTAAACAAACGTTAGCGTCACCATGGTAAGCTACACAGCTGTCATTAAGGCCTATCAAGGAAGCACCAGAACAAGGAAAGCCTTAGAAAACCCCGTTGTACCACTATTCTGCTCTCACAGACTCTAAAGTGGTTCCGAATCACAGGAAATGTTCCCGTTTCTGCTACCCATCAACACCCATGCAGATGGAAGTCACATTTACCCTACGGCCATACTTAACTCCTGATGCAAGCAAAAGATAAAACGGCTAACAGTGAGAGTTAAAATTACAGGGATATTTCAAGTCACTAGTCCTCATTTTATAACTTCTAATACTTATATAAAGCATAAAATGTGCTGTATGAAGGAGCAATGAGGCAGAAAGAACATCAGGCCGTCCCGCAGCATCTTAACGATGTACGGACACAAAACAGGAATCCACAGCCCCTGTGCTACAGGACAGTCGCTGGAATGAGAACCCGAATGTGCTCCTTCATACTCACACGCCGGACTCCCCTGTCACAGAGACAGCGATCAAAGACAAACGGGACCCCCAGATAAAGAGCCGTCCTACCTCAGCATCAGAAACGTACTGCTCCAGCAGAACTTTTAACATTATCAAATGGGACAGTTGAATAAACATTCACACATTTTTCATTGTAAGACTAACAGGTCAAGCAACTGAGTAAGCAACTGAGCAAAATGAAGTACATAACTAAAGAGGAATATGAACAGATGTATACTTTTTATGTGTATACACACTCCTCTCTGACACACACCAATTACAAATATAATAAGCAACCATCTGCTGATCGCACTCCTGATTCTTCCTTATGCAGTCCATCTATTTCAGGGTGAGTTAGTCCCACACAGACACAACATCGGAGCTCTGTCTCCACCAACAAAACTCTGCAACCTCACTGGCCAGAGTCGTGGGGGAACCAATCATTTGTGGCCACAAAACAGCACCAGACCACAGTCACCCCTTCGACATCTGCACACAACGTAAATCGCACACTAAAAGCACTGCCTCAATTTTAACATTTCATTTTAATTATTAGAATCCAACAGCACTGTAACACCGAAACGGATATACTTTGCAAAAACCTTTTGCAAGCTTGCAAAATTGAATAGCCCCTGGGCTTTGAGCAGAAATAATATCCTCAGAAAATTGAGTTTAGCCAGAACCACAACAAGCTTCATTCATTTAGCTTCTTAGGTAGTGTTTGTTAGACAGCACATTACAGTTAATTACAAAATAACTAAAACATCCCACAAAACCTTCCTCTTTCATTTCAGTGGGCAGATCCAGAAGGGCAATACCTACACAGTGTTAGTTATCATCAGTTTATATTAGGTTAACATCATAAACAAACACTGGAGCAATGAATTTGTGTTCTGGGGAGACTCCAGAATGGCTGGTCCAATAAAGGTTCCGGCTGTGTTACCAAGAGTGCTGCAGCCCTGTGCCGGGGG